CCGTGCGGTCTACTACGACGACAATGTCTTTGTCCCCTAGGCGAATCGTGATCGGGGAGTCATAGCCGGTAGAGGTAAGACCGGCTTTGCGGACACACGCGTCGGTGATGAAGTTRCCGGTGGCTCCAATGTCGAGGAGGGCCCGKAACTTAGTTGTAGACGCACCAAGGGTGGCAGCGATGAATTTGAGGTGGAAACGAGATGAGTTGGYGGTGGAGATGATGGTGTTGAGGCGGCGTTGTTCGTTGCCTAAGCGGACAAGCCGATCGTGTYGGGCTTGTTCYTCAACAACATCGGAGAAGGTGATAGTGGATGCATTTGGAGGAAGGGTAGAGGAGCATGAGGCAGTGGGAGGTGTTTGCGATGCCTGGGAATCGTCCGGTGGAGGGGGCGTCGCCGGAGAGGGGGAAGGCAAACGAATTGTCGATGTCAGATGGGCCATCGGTGCGACGAAGGATGTCACTGATGGGTAGGCTGATAGATGCAATGTTGATGTCGGGTCAGTGTCCTGGGGACTGCGTTCACGATGAGGAGGGGCCCGCGCTTGCCGAGGGCGGTGATGCGGAGGTTGCGGGTCGCGTGGAGGCGGACTAACGGGTGAATCGTGCGGCGTTGGGGCGGTTGGTTTATTGGTGCCCCAATTGGCGACAACGGAAGCAACCCCCTTTTGCTTGGAGGTAGGTGCGCTCCTCGGGAGCTGCGATCTTTGCGCTCCATTCTCATGAACTGGACGACATCGAGTTCCTTGGAAGTGAGGGATGAAGAGTCGAGTGAATCGAAAGATGCGTCGGGGTCAGATGTGGTGAACTCGTCTGAGGAAGTGATGGAGGTGGTGTCTTCGGGGGTGATGTGGTGGGAAAAGCGGGTGCGGGAGGTGCCGGGGGGGGCCTGGTGGTGGGGGTGGAGGAGTCGATCGTGGTGRAGCATGCGAGAGAGGAGGTCAGCAAGGGGCATGTCGGGTTCGTGGGCGAGGGCGGTTGCAAGGTCTTTGTGGCATACTCGTTTGATGCGGGAGATGAACGCATAGTCGGGAATGACGGTGTGGGGGAGGTGGTATCGGAGGGAGCGGACGTATTGGACGAAGCGGTCCGTGGGACCGGTCTGGCGGAGGTGGCAAAATTGTTCAAGGTAGTCGTCAATGGTTTTCTGGGGGCGGAAGGTGGCAGTGAGGAGGGTGGCCCATTGGAGGAAGGTGGGGCGTGGTCCTCTGGAGGCTCGGCGGTTGCTAGCTTCAACCATCCACCATTTGGCTGCATTGCCGAGGAGGCGGGAGGTGGCAATGGGCAAGGGGCATGTGGTGGAGCTGAAAAGAGTTCTGAAGCTGGGTTAGGAAGAGGAAAACGTCCTCGTTGGGGAGGCCGGAGAAGGACATGATTTCGCCAGATCGGAAGGAACGGGGGATTTCCCCGTCGCGGTGAACGATCTGCGCGAGGGTGTTGAAGCTGAGGTTATCG